TCCTTTGTGGTGGGTTTGTCCCATGGTTACCAACCGGACGTCCGGATCCCGATCCAGACAGTCCGGTGTCTGGTGTCCGAGCCCGGTGTCCGGTTAGTAGTGCGAGGCCATTGCCTCTATGAGCCCCATAAGGCCCCATTTCGCAGCCCGTCGGCCACCCTAAGTGAAGGCAGGCTCGACGAGGCCCTCAGGGCCCTATTCTGGCCACCACGCAACTCAGGGAAATTCAGGCAGTTGCGAGGCGCCAGTTGGTTGAGTGAACCCAGGCCCTGGGCCGCCAGTATGAATGTATGTGCAGCAGGCCCTGGGCTGGATACGGGTACTGGGCCAAACACAGGCCAAAGGCAGTTGGGCACATGCAACTACCTCAGGACCAAGGCCTGTTCTTGACGTGCTGGGCCTCAGGCTACCGGGGCCTACTGGAAGCTTCCTGGGACGGACGCAGGCAGGCCACTTCGATAAAGCAAAGGGCCTGCCTCCTCATTCGGCATTCGGGTGCTGGCTGCATGTTGCGCAAGCGCTGCTGCACTATTTGCTGGCTTGCGCCTACGCTCTCACGGGCGAGCAGGGAAGGAGCACGCAGCCATAGTCGAGTTGCGCTACTGTAAGTTGGGTGAGGCGCAGGGTGGTCCTTGGGTGCTAGTGGCATCTGTGAGTTGGGGAACGAGGTTGTGAGTGTAGCGCGAGACATACCTGGTGCTGGAAGCGTGCGACATTGGTCGTCATATGCTCGTACTTCGGAATGCTGTTGACGTCATCTTTCGGCTTCGTAGTATAGGCTAGATAGGATCTGCCACATGTAGTCTCGGCTCCAAGCGCCAGATAGGATATCAACTCTGGTTCTTCATTGATGATGATGGGACTATTTCAACATTGTCAATTATGAACTCTTCGTGTGTTCTTAATTGGTGAATCTCGTGATGCAATTCTGCTGTTGGTTCGAGGTCACGACTATCTGGACTCATATGTACGATGCTGTTTGATTGCTGAAGTTCGCTATTGCTCATCTTCCTTGCAATTTGGTATCAGAGTTGTGGTACGTTTGCGCTCATCTGGCGCTTGTCTTCTACCTGGTACAGTACATACATGCGGTCTGCTTGGCGAGTTTGGTCGTAAGTAGTGTGTAGTGAGGAGGGCGGAGACAAGTGATTGGCGACCCAGGAGGTGAGGGGATCGCCAGGAAGGCTATGTGGGGGTAATGTGGTCTGGACAGTGTGATGAGAACTATCTAATGTGCGATTGATGCTGAGGTGGAACGGCGAGATAATGCTGGTTGTGCCGATGCAGTGACTGGTCATCGCAATCGACATTTGGTCATCTGGTGAGATTATCTCTGTGGTTGGGGGCAGCTATTTGAGGTACGTTGCTCTTAACCTTATCTACCCTCTCTGACACTTCTTACCGTGAGGTTGTGTGTTCCTTCTTGAGAGTCCTCTCATTGTGAGGTGTCGAGTGCGCTCAACCTTGAGAGTCGGCAATGTTCACGTGGAGCATCTGGGAGAAGATGGGCGGAGCTTTTTGAAGGGCCCTAGACGAAGCACTGGGTCACGGTCACCATGCCAACCCACAGGGAGTAGAGCACGCATGAAATGCTGCTTGTCCTTTGTTTGGCTTGCTGCGCTGTTAGATAGGTACTGTTGGGCAGGCCAGCCCTTGAGGGAGACGAGACCGGGCGTCTTTAAATAAGCACCGGAAGGGGAACCATTGGCTGTGATCGTCGTCCGGCTGCGACGTAAAAGAATTCATGGAGTCACTTGGGGGCGGACGTTAAATTGCCTCTGGATCAGCCAATGGTTGTAAGGCTCGCTGCACGCGAGGATAATCCAGTGCAGGGCTGGCCAGCTCAGCAGATACTCTGGGCATAGGGGTGGGCCGGACACACACACCTTTAGATACGCAACGCTCTCCAGATTGCTCACGGACGCTGGCGTCAAGTGATACTCAGGGGAACTAAGAGAGGGGTAAATTCCAGGTGATAAGTTCGAGAAAATTCCATGCTGTCCTATCCACACAAATGATTTTATTTTTATGTTTTTGATTAGTTAGGTGAACAACCATTGACATCTGACAGACAACATTAGTTAGACTGTTTATTGTTCCTGGTGCTTTTGTTTGCGGAGTAGTCAGACTAAAAATAGTTTCGTTTGTAGGAATCTGGACTTACCTGTTAGAACCCGAATGTATCTGCTCCGGAATAGCGACCAATTAATTATTAAATTGGTTTGTGCACTCTGTTGCGGTAGGCATCTTGAGTGTAGACGGTGCATAGTGTTGTAGCATATGAGCTACAGGGAGGACACACCACCGGACGACCGGATCTTGCGATCAGCTAGACGCCCGATAGCCCACGTGTCCCTAGGACCGGAGGGTGATAGGTTTCTGTTCCGCCAGCTTAGGGAGAGGCAGCAGCAGCAGAGGAGAGCTAGAGCAGCCAAGGCCAGCAGGGCTTTCGCTAGCGAGGCCACTGCTACAACAGCCATGGCCACTTCCGCTATGGTCATTTCTGCGCAGTAGACTTCCCAGGCCAGCAGTTCAGATATCGTCGGGTCAACAGTCGCGCAGACCGTGAGTCAGTCCACTGGCGTTATGGCAAGCCAGGCAGCAGTGTTGACCCCAGAGGATGTCGCCATCCAGCAGGCAGCCCTGCAGGAGGCACAGCTACAACGGGCATTAGGAGAGATAAAAGTGGAGAAGGAGAAGATGATTAGAAGAAGAGCCAGGATGCAGCGGAGAGGGGCAGACATAGAGGAGTTAGAGACGATGGACCTGACGCACATGGATGATGATGTGAGGGTAGTTAGGAAGGCCCTGCTAGGAGTAATAGAGATGCAGGAGCATCAGACTACCATCCTTCAGGATATCCAACAGAGCCTAGCTGTTCTGGCAGGGCGTGCTCAGGCGGCACCATCACCACCCGGGCCTAGTGCCTGGCCCGTGGCATATCCTCCTTTTTTTGTTCCACCGGTGACCGGGGTATCCCCATATGTAGCCCCGTCATTGGTTGCGATCGTTTCCCTGGGCATGCCGCTGACAGGAGGGGTATCAGCAGGGACTAGTTTGCAGGTTCCTGTTCAGACAGTGTTCACCCAAACTCCATCATAGGTTGCAGTCACCATGCAGCCTGCTGTCTCGCATCCTGTGCAGCCGCAGGGCACACAGCCCCAGCAGCTAACACAGCAACTTGTATCACCGGGTCCACAGCCTGGAGTGGAACAGGGACCGGGACAACCACAGTGGGTTCCAAAGACGACCATCGCTGCTCCGAAACCCGTCACAGGGGACAAGAGAGGCGAAGACCTCGACACATGGTTGAGGTCAGTGCCAGTCTATGTCAGGTGTAAACTTACCTTGCCGCATGAAGAAGTGCTTGTGGCTGTTTCCTACCTAGAGGGTAGTGCAGCAAGATGGTTGAGTGGTTTAGTGCAGCTTCAGGGTTATGGTCATGACTTCCGCGCTTGGGCGGTCACTCAAAAATTGGAGGACTTCCTGAAGATGGTGGAGGACACGTGGCACGATCCTCAGGAGGCCCAAAGGGCCACTGATGCGATCCTAACACTGCACACGCGGCAGTTCAAGTCAGTTAGGGAAGCCACCGACGCTGTTGAGCGTTTGATCTGTGTCCGAGGGGTGCGCTATGACCCCCAGGTCTTACTTACCTCGTACCTAAGATGCTTCTCATTGCCTCTCAGGAACCAGTTGGCGAGGGAGGCCAACATCAATATGCACAACTTTCCTTCGTTCAGCAAGATGGCCCTAGACCTTGAAGCTAAGATAGGGCATGGACAGACACCCACTACGGATGGGAGGAAGAAGACACTGCCTTCTAACTGGAAGGCGAAGGGTCGCTTAATGTTTGTCGATAATGATGGTTCCACTATCGAAGTAGACGAACACTTCCAGGAGGGAGTAGGTTCAGAGGCGGGCAGCGTAGAAACTTAAGAGGGTGGAGTGGTTGCTGCCATAGCTCAAAAAGGAAAGGCGACCGGTAGACGTCGTGGAGGTTCCCGGTCTAGGAGTCAAGTTGACCCCAATGCTCCTCCATGGGAGAAAGCGGGTCTTACAAAGGACGTGTGGAGAGACCGTTACTCACGACAGGCCTGTATTCGTTGTGGTCAATATGGCCACAACCAATTCAAGTGCCGCAATAAGAAGGTGACAAAAAAGATGCCGCCTACGATGGGGCAGGTGTTGGGATCCTCTCATCCCGTTGGTAGCAATGTTGCTAGTACTTCCGGCAGTGCTCCGGGAAACACGTCGGGCCAGTAGGAATAGTAGTTGTTCCTGCTAGGGTCGAGGTGGTGGAGACACCCTCACCATCTCGAGAGATGGCCCAAGCTACTGACTCCAGGGTCGTCCCGCAAACACCTTCAGACCCATCGAGCCTCTGTTCGATGAATGTGTTTGAATCCTTAGAGGAGCTAGAGGTGGAGTGGTCTAGATCAGACCCGCTAGCTTCTTGGACGACCCTAGTCAAAGCCCCTAAAGGTGAGATGTTCGTCAGCGAGGTTGTCATTGGCGGCCGCAAGGCCGGGGCCTATTATGACACTTGATCGACTAGGAAGTTTATTAGTCACGCGTGCGTTGAGAGGCTGCGTTTACAGGGGCGAGTGCAGCGCCTGAGTCGAGTTGTGCCAACAAACAACGCATGGTAGTCAATGACTACCTCCAGGATGTAGAGTGTTGTTTCCCGTACGCGGGAGGGGAATTGAGACATCGCGTCTGGTTCCTAGTGAGTGACGAGCTCCCAATGGATATATTACTAGGTATGTACTACCTCTCTGTGGCACAGCCCCAATTTGACTGGGACCGAAAAGTGGTCAAACACACTTTGCCAGGTGGAGGGACCGCCAGATTACATAAGTTCAAAGCTAGTAGTCTGATTGAGTCCTATGGGTGCATGTGTGCGGCCGCGTTCTACAATTATTATAAGTAAAATCAGGAGGAGGGTATGTATTTAGTTTATGTCTCTGCCGCAGGCGAGCCGGTGAAAATGCCGCCGGAGATAGAGGGAGAAGTTGCTAAGTACCCTGATCTATTTGAAGAGCCGACAGGGGTTGTTGAGAGGGAGGTCGTCCACGCGATAGAGATTATCCCAGGGTCTAGTATTCCGAAGGGTCAGATCTAAAGGATGTCTCCAGGCAAGCTTGATGAGCTTCGCCGCCAACTCAAGGAACTCRTAGAGAAGGGTTGGATCCGGTCGAGTGTCTCTCCTTATGGATCTCCAATACTATTTGTACCTAAGAAGGAGGGTACACTTAGGATGTGCATTGACTATAGGGACCTCAATGCCATCACTGTAAAGAATAGAGAGCCCCTACCGCGCATCGATGATATGCTAGATAGGGTGCAAGGGTGTCGGAACTTCGGTAAGTTAGATCTGAAGTCCGGGTACCATCAGATTGCAATCCGGCCYGAGGATCAACACAAAACCGCCTTTCAGACCAGGTACGGTCTGTACGAGTTTGTGGTGATGCCTTTTGGCCTGTGCAATGCTCCTGGCACCTTTCAGCACGCTATGAATCAGATATTCCATGACTACTTGGATAAGTTTGTCATCGTGTACCTCGATGACATACTTATTTTTAGTAAGACTGTCGAGGAGCACGTTGCACATTTGGACAAAGTCCTTAGTCTCCTGCGACAACACAAGTTCAAGATCAACGGTAAGAAGTGCGAGTTTGGCCGCACCCGTGTCTTGTACTTGGGTCATGAGATCTCCGCGGAAGGGTTGAAGCCCGATGACACGAAGGTGGCCAGCATTCGTGATTGGCCACGTCCTCAGTCTGTGATTGAGATGAGATTTTTCTTAGGAATGACAGGCTACTATAGGACTTTCGTTAAGAACTATAGCATAGTGGCCGCTCCTTTGACTGATCTGACCCGCCTTGACACCCCATGGGAGTGGACAGATGAGTGTGAGGCTACTTTCAGACATCTGAAGCATATGTTGACGCACTACGAGGTCTTGAAACTTCCTGATCCTGATAAGCCGTTTATAGTCACCACGGATGCCAGCCAATATGGCATTGGCGCCGTGCTTGCGCAGCAGGAGGGGCCAAAGTTGAGGCCAGTAGAGTACATGTCCAAGAAAATGCCGTCTCAGAAGTTGGCTAAGTCCACCTATGAGAAGGAACTCTATGCGGTGTACAAGGCTCTGACCCATTGGAGACACTATCTCCTTGGGAGGTTCTTCATCCTCAGGACTGATCATCAGACCCTGAGATGGATGAGAACTCAGCCGGTACTCTCTGACGCTCTCAAGCGTTGGATCGAAGTCATTGAGCAATATGACTTTGACCCTCAGTATCTGAAAGGGGAGTACAACAAGGTTGTTGATGCCTTGTCGCGTAGACCTGATTTCTCAGGTGCGCTGATTACTGAGTTCGCTCTGACGGACCATGTTACTCAATCCTTGGTGGAAGCCTATCGCGAGGACCAGTTCATGTCTGAGATCATACGCAGACTCGAGGCGAAGGGCAAGAAGACCTATGCCGAGTTTGAATTGGTCAATGGCTTGTTGTTCCTTGAGAAGGCAGGGAATAAACGATTGTGTGTCCCTAATAGCGAGTCTTTGCGTAGTTTATTTTTAGGTGAATGCCATGATGCCACCGGCCATTTTGGGTATAAGAAGACTGCAGCCAATCTGCTGCAGCGGTTCTGGTGGCCCACGATGATGCGAGATGCCCAGTTGTACGTGGAGACTTGTCAAGTTTGTCAAAGGGACAAGCCACGTACTCAGGCTCCTCTTGGGCTTTTGAAGCCCATTCCAATTCCGGAACGGCCTGGTGAGCGTCTGTCCATGGATCTCATGGATACTCTCATCACTAGCAAGAGCGGGATGCGTCACATCTTCGTCATCGTGGATAGATTTAGTAAGTATGCTAGGTTAGTAACCATGCCGGAAACACGGAGTACGTGATCCGTATGTTCAAAGAGAACTGGGTTAGAGACTTTGGTTTACCAAAGTCTATTGTCATCGACAGGGATGTCCGATTTACCAGCGAACTGTGGAAAGCCGCTGCTGCAGAGCAGGGAACCCAGTTGCAAATGACTTCTGGGAATTACCCAGAGGCCAACGGCCAAGCCGAGCAACTGAACCGCGTTGTACAACACTTGTTGAGGCATTACATCAAGCCCAACCAGGTGGACTGGGATGAGAAGCTTGCACTCATCGCCAGTCTGTATAACAATGCGGTACACAGTGCCACCGGGGTGAGCCCGAACAGTTTGCCACTGACTTTCGAGCCTAGATTACCCTTGGATTTTCTCCTTCCTGAGAATCAGTCGACTGCTGCACCAGGTACCTTAGAATTTGCTTACCGCTATGAACAGAAGATGCAGCAGGCTGTAGAACAGATGCAGAAGGCGCAGGCTACAATGATAGAGTCTGAAAATAGACATCGCCGACCTTCTACATTTCAGGTTGGGGATAGGGTCTGGGTTAAGTCTTCAGAACTGGGACAGGAGCACGGGATCTCCCGCAAACTTATGCCCCAGTACTTTGGACCCTGGGAAGTCTTGGATATCGTTGGGACAGATCCGGATGGGCCATCTTATGTTATCCGGATCCCTGGTCACCTCCGTACTTACCCTGTCTTTCACGCCTCCAAGCTGGCACCTTTCAAAGAGACTGATCAATTCCCATCTCGACGCTCAATGCTGCCCCCAACCATGGACGGAGAGGTGGACATCGATGATATTGTGGATCACAGAGAGCTGCCGGTATCAAGACCAGCAGGCAGGGGACGTCCTCCAAAACCGAAGCTGCAGTACCGCGTTCGGTTCCGGCATCACACTGATCCGAAGGAGGACCGCTGGTTCACCAGGGAAGAGCTCATGCAGACCGCTCCTCAAGTTGTGGCCCAATACGAGAGACCTCTGCAGAAGGGGAAGCGCCCTTTGATTGAAGACTGAGCTTCTCAGAGGACTGTCGAAGCTAGGGAGGAGGGAATGCGAGGCCATTGCCTCTATGAGGCCCATAAGGCCCCATTTTGCAGCCCGTCGGCCGCCCTAAGTGAAGGCGGTACTGCGGGCGAGGGCTTCGGTGGCAGAGCAAACCTCCACGGCAACCTCCAAGTTCGAATTCGCGTCCTCCCGCTAGCGGGGCTGCTACTATCAGAAGACTTTCAAATTTCACTCGTAGGCCCTTTCAGGGCCTGTCCGGTTGGGGTACCCGATCGCGAAAAACCAACACAACAATTTTTCGGGGTGCCCCAGGCCGAGGTGAACGGCCTGGGACCCCGAAATTGTTTTTTCGAATTTTTTGATTTTGGGGTCCAGCCGGACCCTACTGCGAGGCCATTGCCTCTATGAGGCCCATAAGGCCCCATTTTGCAGCCCGTCGGCCGCCCTAAGTGAAGGCAGGCTCGACGAGGCCCTCRGGGCCCTATTCTGGCCACCACGCAACTTAGGGAAATTCAGGCAGTTGCGCGGYGCTAGTTGGTTGAGTGAACCCAGGCCTTGGGCCGCCAGTATGAATGTATGTGCAGCAGGCCCTGGGCTGGATACGGGTACTGGGCCAAACACAGGCCAAAGGCAGTTGGGCACATGCAGCTACCTCAGGCCCAAGGCCTGTTCTCGACGTGCTGGGCCTCAGGCTACCGGGGCCTACTAGAAGCTTCCTGGGACTGGACGCAGGCAGGCCACTTCGATAAAGCAAAGGGCCTGCCTCCTCATTCGGCATTCGSGTGCTGGCTGCATGCTGCGCAAGCGCTGCTGCGCTATTTGCTGGCTGGCGCCTACGCTCTCACGGGCGAGCAGGGAAGGAGCACGCACCCATAGCCGAGCTACGCTGCTGTAAGCTGGGTGAGGCGCAGGGTGGTCCTTGGGTGCTAGTGGCATCTGTGAGTTGGGGAACGAGGTTGTGAGTGTAGCGCGAGCCATACCTGGTGCTGGAAGCGTGCGACATTGGTCGCCATATGCTTGTACTTCGGAATGCTGTTGACGTCATCTTTCGGCTTCGTAGTATAGGCTAGATAGGATCTGCGACATGTAGTCTGGGCGCCGAGCGCCAGATAGGATATCAACTCTGGTTCTTCGTTGATGATGATGGGACTATTTCAGCATTGTCAATTATGAACTCTTCGTGTGTTCTTATTTTGTGAATCTCGTGATGCAATTCTGCTGTTGGTTCGAGGTCCTTGGGTGCTAGTGGCATCTGTGAGTTGGGGAACGAGGTTGTGAGCGTAGGCGCCAGCCAGCAAATAGCGCAGCAGCGCTTGCGCAGCATGCAGCCAGCACGCGAATGCCGAATGAGGAGGCAGGCCCTTTGCTTTATCGAAGTGGCCTGCCTGCGTCCAGTCCCAGGAAGCTTCTAGTAGGCCCCGGTAGCCTGAGGCCCAGCACGTCGAGAACAGGCCTTGGGCCTGAGGTAGCTGCATGTGCCCAACTGCCTTTGGCCTGTGTTTGGCCCAGTACCCGTATCCAGCCCAGGGCCTGCTGCACATACATTCATACTGGCGGCCCAAGGCCTGGGTTCACTCAACCAACTAGCRCCGCGCAACTGCCTGAATTTCCCTAAGTTGCGTGGTGGCCAGAATAGGGCCCYGAGGGCCTCGTCGAGCCTGCCTTCACTTAGGGCGGCCGACGGGCTGCAAAATGGGGCCTTATGGGCCTCATAGAGGCAATGGCCTCGCAGTAGGGTCCGGCTGGACCCCAAAATCAAAAAATTCGAAAAAACAATTTCGGGGTCCCAGGCCGTTCACCTCGGCCTGGGGCACCCCGAAAAATTGTTGTGTTGGTTTTTCGCGATCGGGTACCCCAACCGGACAGGCCCTGAAAGGGCCTACGAGTGAAATTTGAAAGTCTTCTGATAGTAGCAGCCCCGCTAGCGGGAGGACGCGAATTCGAACTTGGAGGTTGCCGTGGAGGTTTGCTCTGCCACCGAAGCCCTCGCCCGCAGTA